TATCCTGACAGTGGAGATTGGAATAGCCACCTAAGAACTACTTCTAAACAAGTCCACATCCCCTTGTCCTATTGACCATCTTTTCTCCCCTATCTTTGGACAGTGGGCTATAAGGGGAGGTCAAAACATTAGATAACCCTTATTAAAGTAGATATTAAAAAATCTAAGCCTACATGTAGCTATGACACTGAGTGGCAGGGCATTGGGTTGGGGCTCATGAGTATCTTAAGTTGAAAACACTGTAAGTGGGGGAGAACCTGCCCCCCACTGGATCCAGCCTTCTCCAATATATGAAGTGAGGGAGCATGTTTGTTTTTGTCTGTGATTCTGGTCACTAAACACACAGAGACATGCTTTGTAAGTGAAGATCGTTGTACACTCCATACATTTCCAAATGTGCGCACTCCTTTCTGACTAGATTACCATAAAAGACACGTATGTACCTCCACTGTATCTTTTTACCTGAATTCAGATAGAACAGTCTTCTTTTGGCCAGGGTGTCCCAAAACTGGCAACTGCAGATACAGACAGAGCTCCCACCCACATGCATCCCTGAGACATGCACACAGAAGAACTAGCTCAGGCCAGGAACAAGTCTCAGAACAGTTCTGGCCTTATCCCTTCTCTACATGCAATGCAGCGTCTTTCCCAAGAGGACAGGCTCACAGAACGTCCCCACAGACACACTCTGGGCTAACAGGGTCTTGTAACTTCAATTTTCAGATATTAAGCTAGAATAATGTGAGCATGGGAGCACCTGATGAACTCTTATCCCTCCCACACTCTTTAGTCCCTACCCTTCACCCAGACCCAGCCTTGCTGCTACGTCCCAGCTCAGGGCTCCCTTGCCAAGTAGATTCCTTTCGATAGCACAAGTTTCATTTCCCACAGGAGGCTTCCCCTGAGCAACTCTCACAGCCACAGTAATTGCTCTAGCCTGTCCACGAGGACCTTATGCTTTTGGTGTTCATAGTTTTGATGTTTCATAGTTGAATTTAAGTGACTGGTCATGAAGGCAGTTATTTAGCATATGCATTATCTACAGGAGATTAAGCCCCGTGTCTTTCTTACTCATCATTGTATGACCATCTAATGTCTGGTTTAGTTTATTGGGTACTTAGATTTTTATTGAATTCTATGGAAGTTTCCTAAAATGATGTTTTCCAAGAGTTCAACATCAAGCTTATTGTTCAATAGTTTACAACACTGTGGTGGCTTAAATAAGCTTGGCTCATGGGAAATGGTACTATCAGGAGACGTGGTCTTGCTGGAAGAGGTTACTATGTGGACAAGCTTTGAGGTCCTATGCTCAGGCTCTACCCTGTGCAGAAGAGACCCTCTTCCTAGCTGCTCTTGAGACAGTCTGCTCCTGACTTCCGTCAGATGAATATATAGAACTTTCAGCTCCTTCAACACCATGTTTGCCTGCACACTGTCAAGCTTCCTGCCATGAGGATAATGGACTAAACCTCTGAAACAGTAAGCCAGCCCCAATTAAATGTCCTTTATAAGAGTTTTCTTAGTCATGGTGTCTCTCCAAAGCAATGGAAACCCTAACTAAGACAGATTTTCAATAGATGATAATCCCTGAATAGTGTATCAAATAGTCAGCTTTAGGATGAAGAAAGGCCACTCAGATGCTTGGTGAAGTTTGCCCATAGCATTGTGAACTGTAGAATTTATTTTCATTTTGACATCACTATTTGCATATTTCACTTAAGCATGTGAGGCAGCATGCTCCCATCCTGCCAGCCCCAGATTGTTTTCTCCTTTCTTATGTTCAGGAATGTCTTGCATTGTGCACTCATGCTTCTGTTATGCAGATGTCAATGAATAGGTGAGACTGTGGAACACTGATATTACCTCAACAGATTACTTCCTTTGAATAAGACACTCGCACATGTTGTTATAAATCCTAACCCACCACCTCCCCATATTTTCTATGTCACTGGACTTAGTTCCCAGTGTCAAATCTCCAGGCTGGCTTTATTTATTACTGATAATCTGTGTATACTCTGAGATCATAAATACAGCCCTCAAACAACTCCTCTATTATTTCCCCTCGAGAAATTACTGGGCTCCTCTCATGTCACAATTTTTTCTGCGCTGTATTGACTGTCTTCTACAACATCTAGTTTATAGGTTCATCTTCCTCCACCCTCCAATTTAAAGTGCTCTTAGATTGGTGAGTCTTCCAGCTTTGTACTCTATTCATTACCCAGGATCGCTGTGTACACTTCCTCTCCTGCCACTTTCCTTTCATGAGCCATATTTGATAACATTCCACCTCTTTTACTATTTCTAGAGATAAATGACTCCTTTGCAATTTTTCTTTCTTCTTTCAAAATCGAGCTTGTTATCTCAGGAGGAAAAAAGAAAAAAAGAAAAAAAAAAACCATTGAAGTGGTACCTGAGTCTGTGAGTTCATGAAACTCCTAACCCCAAAGCTATGCAAGTACTACTTTAGAAACTTCCAGACAGGAAAGTGCAAAGGAGGCTTGTTAGCAACGCCTACCAAATGGATAGTGAATTCACTGAGTTTCTATGATTGTTTCCTACATCACTGTGCCTTCGAGGAAAGAGTGATAAGAAAAGTATCAGACATTTATTAAAGATTAACCAGTGTACGTGGGAAACAGTACCGTGCAGTTCTCTACAAACCTTTTTTTTTTCTTTTTTTTTTTTTTTTTTTTTTTTTTGCTATGCAGTGTGTCAAGTGTCAAGGTTCCTTTTGTTGGACCAGTGGAGAGGGGGTGATAAAACTTGCCACTTGCTAATCTAATCGTCTTTCCCAGTGCTCTGTGGTCTCTTCTCCAACATCCTATCCGTGGGGATGTCAGCCTTTTGTCTGAGCTTCAGGTAGGTAGCTCATTATTTTCATTTCTCCTCCACATCAAATTCGTCTGGTCATCAACAACCCAGCTGCTTTTCATTTTCTCCTGTTTCACTTCCTTCATGGTGTCAGCATGAAGTGAGGGCATGACCACTCCAAGGTATGGCTGAGGAGAAGAATCCTGTTGTAAATGTGAGGGAGAATATAGCCAGAGGCATCTGGGAAAGTACAGAGCAGGAAAAGAAAGTAAAAAAAGTAAATGTGATGGCAGACTGAACCCAGGCCAAGAGAGGAAGATAAGAGACTGTGGGCAAAAGAGACCAAGAGAGAGGAACTAGACAGAGAGGGCCAAGAAAAAGCCACGAGGATACATGGCCGGAATGGCAGGATCCTATAGAAATGAGAAGCTTGGGGAAGAGAAGGGGGGGGGGGGGGGGTGGGGAGTATGAGTTAAAAAGAGTTTAGGGTAGGGAGCAGGGTGAGAAATGCTGAGAGGAGCCAGGAGGCCAGCATAGAATCTGTCACAGGCACTTGCAATGCTGAGAGAGCCTGGAAGCTAGCATGCTCTTTGGTATGCTAATAGACGCTACCGTTAGCCATTAGTGCTTACTTTTGGGCATGACAGTGTCCTATACAGATAAAACTTCCTTCCATCCTACCTAAAATGGTTTCATTAACCTTCTCAGACACCAAGTTTCTAAGCAGTTTTAAGGACATTCTTCCACTTTACTTCCAAGCAGACCATTACCTTCCATTGAGAGTGTATAATTTCCTGTTCCTGCAAAGTTGAAGAGATAATCTATGACTAACAAGAATGAGGGTTTTGTTTTCTGTTTATCCTCTGGGATAGGCTGCTTAGATATGAAAACATAGATGAGGGGGGAAAGAGGAAAAGTAAGGAAACATTCGTCATTTTTAAAACATCATGTTTCTTCAATTTCTGCAAGAAGCAAATTTCAACTTAGTTTCTCATCCAAAGAAGGCGATTTTCCAAATATTCATGTACCTAGCTGCCACATTGCCAGACAATTCTCAGGAACTTCTCAAGTGTTAATGGTGACCTCTCCTAAGTTTTAGAATTAATTAGAAGCAACAATGACCAAAGATGCCCTGGTTGCCATCATCCAGCCATTCCCACCAAGGATTAGCAGAAAGAGGAAAGACAAGACCTTCTACGTGCTTCTGAGATGGGAAATGTAACAGATGATGTCATTTTGATACAGCATGGGCTATACTCCATTGTCATTTCAGAACAGGGCAGTCTTCTGTGCCCAATCCATCTTGCAAACATTTGTTCTGAGTACAGACCAGACGTACCCACATGCTAGAGTCAAGAATGAGCACCACAGGTGAGCACAACATCAGAAAATAGACTATGAGATTAAAGAATTTAGCTGAAGAATACAAATATATAAATTCTTTGCAAAAAAAACCAACCAAACAAAAATCAAAACAACAACAACAAAACGTTAAAGACTCTATTACAGAGCCTAAAGTTCCTTGGTGAGTATTTAGAAGTGGATAAGCAAATAAATAATTGCTATGAAAAATATTGACGATTTGCTTTCTTCAACTTCTTGGTAGACACTGTACATCTTGTTATAGCAGTGATGATGTAGTCCTAAGGGTGGGGAAAAAATGACAGTTACACTGATGTTTTTCCAGATGTGTGTTATACCTATAAATCTTCATCTCTGTCAAAGGAACATCTTTTCAAAACATTAATTAATTTTTTTTCTGCTTCAATCTGACCATCACTGATATAATTAAGGCTCTATACAAACATGCACTTATGTCATTCCTGTTCAGTAGCCTCAATAATCTACGAATCTTATCCTCATTATCTCAAAGCCTATAGAAGAAAGAGTCTGAGACATAGTAGGCTTCTAGGGTATTTTTGAGGGGATATCCAACAACTCTCATTTACCTTCACTTAAAATCATGCTATGCTTCTAATCAGGTGATAGTCCTTAGAAATAAATGGTTTAAAAAATGTTCTCACTCTTCTATTTGTCTGTTCAGGCTGCTTCCTTTGTTTCTTGAATAATACTCTCTGGTCCTTGAAGATTCAACTCAAGTATTCCTCCCTCGCGCAGCTTCTCTACCAAAGCTCTGCCTGACTTGGATGCATCTTCTATGGCTCCCAAAGCATCCTGCACTCGCCGCATGCTGAAATTGGCAGCTTTTAAAAATACATACCTCATCCATTGCACCAGCTGCTTGAGGGTGGGAACAGTGCTGTCTTCTTCACTATACATCTAAGGTCAATATAGTGACTGAAACACAGCAGGTGTGTGTGTGTGTGTGTGTGTGTGTGTGTACGTGTGTACTTGTGTGCATATGTGTGATATGTGTACATCCACACCCTGTAAGGTAGAGAAAGACAATGGAAATCAACATGAAATGAGAGCACCTGGTCCTGGAATCTCTGCCTCCCAGAGGTAGCTGGCAGGCAGGCAAGAAATTGCCAATGTTGACTGAGTTTCTCTCTCTCTCTCTCTCTCTCTCTCTCTCTCTCTCTCTCTCTCTCT